CAAGAGCCAAACACCACACTCCCCTAAAAGGTGCACCCCAGCTGTGCTTTTAAAGAGAAAGAGTCAGATTTCCTGCTTAAACCACTAAAACATTTTGGAAAACTTATTTTTTGTAAACAATTTCATCTAAGGTAAAAGGAAAATCATAAATAAAATATGGAGAAAATGCAGCTCCAGCAGACCTTTTCAGTTACTGCAGTTATTTTAAAAAGCAAATATCCACAGTATATTTTTACAGGGTCAAGGATGGTTATTTCAGGCTGAAATATAATAAATACACTCATCTTAACTTTGAGTATCTAACTCTGTTAAATTGTCTGACTCAATTTCTGTGTACTGCTTCTAAAGTGAGTGCAAGAGCAGCACAGACCTTCTTGGGATTTGTGTGAACCAGAGCAGTGATTCCTAAATACCAATCATTTTTGGAAGAGACTGGTTCACTCTGTTGACTAAAGAGAGGTGTTATACCACTCATTCAGACTATATGACAACATTCCAGAAAGTAAATATTTTTCTAGATTAGTTTAGAAACCTTTAATTTCACTCTGAAAAAAATCCCTGGAAACTTCATTTAAGGATAAATCCTTGAAGTGGATGGTTAGTAGCCAGTTGTTTTCCTGGTGCTCTCTGTGTTCCAATGCATTGAAGTACTAAGAGTAACTACTGGAGAAGCATCAAGGAAGCAAAACTGCATTATTCTTTACAGAGGACCTTTACAAATCAGCATCAGCCTCAGCAAACGTCTTATCTTGTCATTTGGGCGAAAAATTACAGGAAACATAGCAGAGTTAAAAAAGACACAATCTCTCAAAAGCTGTTATTGGTTAACAGGCTTTTTGCCACCCCAGGATTAAAAAATGTATTAGTAAATGCTCAGAGTAAGAAGGCAAATCATAACTTCCTAGAGTTATCAATATACTTTCATATTTCTGTAGCAGGAAAAAAAGGATATGAAGTCTGTGATTAGTTGTTGTAGAGCCTGCTTAAAGGGAATCACACTCTTGAAGCCCCTGTTGGAGAAACAGAGGAGAGATTATTTATCTGCTTGTAAATACTGACAACCAGCTTATGTTGATACTAGGAATGGCAGAAATGTCAGCACTGTGGGATGGTTTGTAGAAATGTGGATTGTCTTATATACCATCCCTAATTTTTGTAGCTACAAAGGGATTTTTAACTTTCCTGTCAAGTCTGGAGGGGAGCATTTTCTGCTGCACTGAATTATTAACAAAATAATTTCTTGTGTTAACATGTGTATTAATATCTCTAGTATGATCAGAGTAAACAAAATTGAGAATACTAAATGGAGTTACTAGACCTATTTATAATTGCCTGTATGTGAACAGTGCCTGTAACATCTGAAGGTCTATTACTGTGAAGTTTTAGTAGCTGGAATCACATGAAAAGAGTTGTATAAATTGTTTCTCCTTTCTGAATGCTGTACTAAGAAGGAAAGCATGGGAAGAAGTAAACATAATAGTTAAAAGAGATTAGGGGTATGCATTTTTATTTGTAAAAAGAGGAACTGTCGTAGCTAGAAACATCTGATATGGCAAAAGCTTTCAGGAAAGGGAAAGATATGTAATAGGGGGACAGGTTTCTTAGGGTAACATGCACAGCACACATCTCTTTTATCTGCTAAGAATCACTGCATATGGGACTGTGGAAATGTTTCAGTGGGTGAAACTTCATACAAAATTTTGGCAAGAACTCAGATTCAAGATCTTGTTTTGCTAATAAGTCTGTGTCCCAACAATATACTCCAGTATCAGAAACAGTTGTACAAACAGTTTAAATTATGAACAAATATGAAGAGCATTTATGTAAGGAACATTACTATGAGACCCTAAAGGAGTAGTCAGTCCTTTGCTTAACAGGATGGAAAGCTGCTTAAAAACACATGTCAGTGCAATGACTCTGCTCACAGGAGACATCCACAATCTGAACCACATGTGTCTCCTGGGGTGGAGAGCAAGTCATTTATCTTGGTCAGCTTTATGAAGAATGGCCAGCCCAATGCCATTGATCACACTGAGTGCTGCACGTGGGGTGGTGGTGGGAGCTGTTAGGCGTGACACTGGCACACTGGCACATTTATTGCTGTTCTGTCAATGATGGTCGAGGCTGGCTTTTGGAACAGGCAGAGTGCCTTGCAGCTCGGGGTGCCCACAGTGCAGGATGGCCCAGAGTGGGCAGCGGCATCATAGGCCCCCAGTTCAGAGTTAAAACATTTTAAAACTCAGCAGGGGACAGTGAGCAATGGAGTTATTTCTCTGGCTTTGAGGACAGTGTGAGATTTGCTTTGCCATAGACACCTCTTATTTTCTGCCTAGAATCAAAGTCAAAATTTGTAAAATCTACAGAAGGAAACAGCAAATGTTACCAGCCACATACAGCGTTTAGAGAATGAGTACATGTTGCTGTGTTCTTAGAGTATTGTGTGCAACCCCACAGTGATCCCAGTTTCAGGGAGGTTACAAACAAGAAAGAACAAACTCTGCTCATCCTCATTACTTTTAAACTGATCACACCTTACTCTGACATGACAGAAATCTCAAATAACATTTTTTGTAATTTAACATTTTTTGTAATTTTTCACATGCAGTTTAGAGGTCTGTGTTCACGCATCAGAATGTCTGACAAAATGTGCATGAAGGCAGGTGGTGCATGGAAGGGAAATCAACATCAGTGGTAGGAAAGTTTTCAAGTGATGAAAGAGATTCTTGTTCAGCTCAGAAGTTTCAAGTGCTTTTCACTTTCCTCTGAGCCTAGAGATAACACTTCACTGAAAATAGTGAAAGAAAAATCACTTTCTGGTATATTTCCTTCATGCAATTCACTAATTTCTAAAAATCCAACCTTCTTCTTGCAAAAAAATTCACTTAAGAGCCCACTGAGAACCCGGATTCATTTGTATTTTTCAAGAAGTCAGTATTTTTGTCCCTTTGTTAAGATGTCATAAACAAGGTTATTCTACTACAGAAATGATTTTACAAATTCTGCCTTATTTTTTTATTTGATTTAGGATTTAGGACAGGTTCTTTAAAGCTGAAAGGAAACAAATTTATTAATTTTTACTTTGGTGTAAGTAGAATCACTCCAGGATTCCCTTAAGTATCCTTAAAAATATCTATATTTTTTTATATACTTATGTGTATTGAATTTGGAGGTATGAGAGGATGGCTAGCCCATCTTAATATATTGCAAAATTCTCTGGGGACCAGCCAGGTTACTTCATTTGACGTTGTCCCAGGAGGAACCTGAGCAATACTTTATGGAAGATCTGCCAAGAGGACACTTCCATCATTATCAGGGTACTTCTCATCAATCCACATCTTCTTTCTAATTTTGAGACATATAAATTCCCAAATTATATTGTGCCAATTTTTCCACTTAGCAGATTGTTCTTGAAGAGCAGACATCTTATTGAACTGTTGCCATCTCAAAGCTAAAGCTACCCTAAGTTAGTAGCTTAGATGCAAGTGATGTGAAGACAGGGGTACCTCCTGATTCCTTCTTTCTTAATGAAAGTCTCTAATACAGTGTCATCCAAACAGAGATTTACTGCACCTATTTCTTTGCACTGGTAACAGGAGAGCCAACAAATAATTTAACCCCCACAGTGTTCTTTGAACTTTTAGAAATTAAAGTCAGGTAAGAGAAATTTTACACTAATACTTGCTGCTGCAAGAACAATCTGCATGGAGGAAAAATCTCCTTACACCTCTTCCAACAGGTAGCTGCCAAAATTATACCAAAATTATACTCAAAATTGAGGAATATGAGCCAAATAATCCAAGACACCTTTCTCTTTGTGAATATTTGCTATTAAATGATACATGTATAATATGTCTAATAATTTTTCTTTTCCCTTAGGTGGCAACTTTCATGAATTGATCTGATGTATACAACTAGGACAAAATCAGATATCGGTAACCAAGGATTTTGTGACAGTATTTTGAAATTTCTTCCTGTGTATGTGAGGAAAAATTATGCCTCTGAAATTCAGAAATGATGATATAATCTCAGTTGGGAGTGTTTACCTAAGGAGTTACAGAAAAATGTTTATGATCTCTAAATGCTCTCTGAGCTGAATTCTAGATAGTTTATACTGAAAGGACTAATTTGCTTCTTGAAAGCATTACTCATTGGTAAAGATAGCGGTGTATTGCTTCCTCAACTCTATTTTTTCCTGTGTACTTTCATTATTATTATTTTTTCCTGGGTACTTTCATGTATTATTTCATGGGTGACTCCTCAGCTACTGAATGACATATCCAAAGCAAGCCCCATTTCCACATACAACTGAAGTTCCTGCTGACCAAACTGCTTAGTACAGCATTAGTGCAATTATTCTGAATATGAATTCCCTGCCAATGGGTAAATAAATCAATAAATAAACCAATCAGTGAAAACTGATTTATTCAGTAAATATCTTGGTGTATGAACAGAACCTAGTCGGTGAGCTGTGGAAGGTAAATAGAGTATTAAATGAACTGCAACAACTGATGTAACATACTTGGTAGGAAATGAAATAAATTGTTTCCAGTTTTGTATATTTTTGCTTATGCTAATGGTACCTAAATGGTGTTAGGTAGATTTAAAAAGGTTTGAAGAATGTAGATAATGTTCTCAGCACTGATGTCCATTAGTAATTATTTCCTCTCTATTGTCTCAGCATTGTAAAATGTTGAGGATCTATTGCTCCTGAAGAAATTGTATAACAGCCTGACCATATGAACAGGAATACCAGTAGTAAAAAAAGTGAAAGTATTTATTCTACGTGACATACTCATAAAAATTTGAAAACGTAGATAAATGTTTAAATAATTATCTAGGCTAAAAATATTCAGCAGTGGAACATGTGACTAACTTCTTCCTTAATGTCACTCCACAAGTATAAAGAAATCTGAAAGAGTAGAAGATTGTGGAGAGCTGTTTTGTTTCAAATAACTTTATTTTTTCTTATTTATCTTTACATACACATATCCCAAGTAAATATATATATACTTTTTACCTAAGAATCTCAGGAATACTGATGTTCTTAATATTGTTTGATGGTTTCCTGGTGGTTTGAGGTTTGTATCGTACAAGTTCTTGCAGCCTTGATCAGGAAGGCCAAGAGTTGGTGCTGCAGTAAAAACATGATTCCTCCTGGCAGTTCCTCCTGGTGACACTTATTTCTCTCTGTGGACTGCAGGCAGAGACTAGATGACTAATTTGGTCTGGATGCCTAATTTTATTTTATGTCATTATGGTATGTGTAGAATGACCAATATATTGTGTAGAAATCATTGATTAATTTCAAATTTGATCATGAAGAAATTTTGCTCTTTTGCTACTACAGTGTTTTGAAACCAACCAGACCTCCCCATGTATTGGTGTGAATTGTGGGAAAACATCAGCCCAAGATATTTTCCATATAAATTCAAATTTAGACAGATAAATACCCAAATGCAGTATCATGTCATCAAAACTGATATATTTTCAAATAATATACAAGCAATAGCAATGATTTAGTTTAGGATAACGTCTTGAGACCCTTGATGAGGGCAGGGATACATGGTACTTGTATACATATGTTGTCCATATGTGTAGTAGAAGTATTATTCTTGCCAAAATCTATAGAAATAATCCAACAGAATGACTTATTTTTAACTCTTCATGCCAAAATATTAAACTGTTCAAAAAAGTGTAGAATCCAAATGGGAAAACTTTGGGAAATTAACGTTACTTTTCTGTAATTGTACAAACATAAATGTAAAATTGCTAAGAAAAGGAAAGCAGTAACTCTTGGTTTATTTATTCCCATGGTGTCCTTTTCAACATGGGTGTGGTTGAAATACCTCTTTTATATTGGATTCGTTTTTACAGATTTTTACATGGGAGCACTTTACTTATAGTTAGGATTGCAACAACTTCACTATGAAGCTGTATATTATCTCTGTTTAATTGAGAAAAATTAGTTTTGTCTGAAAATTTCCAGATGTGTTATAACTACAATACATTCCTGTGGAGTCTGGAGAAAATCAGTCATACTCTTTCCTTAAGGCTGGGCTTATCAGATTTTCTAATTCTAGTAAAACTAATATGTTACTCCTAACATAAACTTTATACTGATTTGAATGTCATAAACCTGTTTCCATATTTTATAAGATAATAATCTAATTAAAACTAATTTTAGTTGCTTTTTCTGTATGATAAATATATTCTGGGTCCCGTCCTGCATCTATTGAATTATGCTTCCTGGAAGTCATGGGCTGGATGTGATCCTTATTTTGTCCTGTGGGATTCAGTGCAGGCAGCACTGGGCAATGCTGGTGGTCTTTGTGCCTCAGATAGGCAATGATGGCTGTGAGACATCACCATCAATCATAGTTGTAAATTATGATTGGACTGCATTTTGCACTCATATTGTCCTTAATTTGCAGATGTATAAATGATTGTACAGCAGGGTGATAAACTGAATCTCCAAGTGTTATTTTCCATATTTTTCACAGAAAGCAGCCCTTGTGTGACACTAATAAATTAGGTGTCTGGTTAGAAAAATAATCTACTATTGTCTTCTATCAGACATCTCTCACTGTCAAATAAAATAATGGTTGTACAAGCATTGCCAGTTTGATTTGTGCCCCTGTTCACTGCATAAAGCAGCAGCCCTGCACTCACAGCCATGAATGCTGATGTGGGAGAAGTGAGGGCACGGGTACAGAGTGCACAGGCTGATGTTCCGTACATAACCTTCCTGCTGGTTCTGCAGCCTCAGCAGCATCTCTGTGTCATTTTGTCTGCTTGTAACTTTCTTAATCTGTTGTAACTTTCTTAATCCATCAAATACACAGTAACAACCTAGAAATTTCTGTCTGCCTTGGTCATAACTAAAGTGGGTTCAAGAGTTGTGCAACACAGACCGCTAACATTTAATGTGATCTGAATAACTGTTAGAAATCGCAGGTCTCTGTAAATCTGGGATGAATAAAAGATTGTAAATTGTTGGAAAGTAAGACAACCCAATGGAAGATTGCCAGTCTTGACTGGTGTTGAATGCTGGAGAACTCGTGATGTTCCTACGTATTTTTACAATGATTGTTGCTGCCACTGGTAGAATGGATTCCTCATTTCCAGTGAGGATTGATATGGTTTCTCACCAATGGACCTTGCTGTGCTCCTATTTGATAGAGGGAAGTGCCAGGTACTACCAGATATTTATCTCCAGATGGGTGCAGATGGTGATTAAATCACCTCTTAACCTCGTTGACAAGAAAAGGAAATTGACCTTGTTGCATGTCTTGTGTAAGCACCATGAATAGAAGTATAAACTTTTTTTTTTCAACTTTCAAGTTTTTGAGACACTGACAGAAGTAATTTCTTCCTATGTAACCACTATTCATCTCTATTTTTAATTCCATTTATCATACATCCAAAGGGTGGTAGTGACAGCCTACTTTTATAACTTCTATTTGGCTGATATCCATGAGGTCCCATGTACCTTTTCCAAGTTCATTGATTTGCTGAATGCAGATTTTCATCCTGTGTGTGACATTAATTTGTTTCATTGCGTTTGGCCATGTTGAAACATAACTTCTGCTTTAATGGTCTGACTCACTCCATTTCATATAATTTACTCTGATTAGTGATTACTGACCTGTCACTTTTGGACATCCACAATTATCTTCAGCAAAAAGTTTAAAGTTTTTTTCCACATTTCTCATAAAGATGATAGCATTTAAAGAATAGCAAAGACACTTGGAATTACACTGAAAATACCCTCTGAATACTGACTCTCTCCAAGTTTCCAGATCTTTCAGCTTTCAATTTCTTTATATGCTTGATAGCTTTGTTCTAGACTTTTATGACTGCTGTTGAGTAGTCCTCAGCTAGTACAAATCTTCCTGTACTTACTGTGAGGTTGGTTACCTATGAGTGATATTTATTGGTGCAAATATCAGATGGGACTGTTCTTGTGACCTGTGCAGTGGCATCCTGAAACTGTCATTCTTATTTTATTCCTCTCCCATCTGTTTTTAGTGTATTGCCTGTCTTAAAATGACCAAGATTGCAGTGAATTGTTCAATTTTACTTTAATGTAATATACAAAATAGCCATTCTAAATTGCAAATTAATACATTTTATATAAAATCCAATGTACAGTATCTTAAATTTGTTTAAATAGTATTATAAATGTAATTTTAGGGAAGAGTCTGTCCTGGAGTGATGCAGTCTTATGTTAATTACAGTTCATTTTGATATCCCTGCTGTTTGTTAAAAAATCCTTCCTAGATTCTAGAAACATCCTTATGAACTCAGGTTTGGCTCCAATCAAAACAAGAATGAACTCCCAGGGATGTTTTTTTTCATTTCAACTTTGTTTTCCCCCACACAGATTAATAAAATCCTTTGCTGGGTCCTCCAGTTTGAATGTCATTTGCCATCTGCTTCAGAGCTCATCTTCATCTGATAAAGCATCAAGGTAATCCGTATCAACATATAGGAGAAATCCAGAAAACAAGCTGTCTGCCCACATTGGATCAGAAAAGAGACCATTTTGGTCAGTGTAGAAGATTTCAAGCCATACTTCATCCTCTGGCTGAAGGTAGATCACCGTGGATCCAGAAGCGACGTCATGGTTGCCGGTGTTGGCGTCGAAAGTCTTGATGCGGTACTTGCCATTGTGAACCAGCCCGATGGCAAGGTGCTTGTTTGCTAAGGTGATGTCATAAGAAAAATAATAAATCCCGGGGATGGCACAAATGAACTTCCCTGTGGATGGGTTGTAATGCTCCCCCTCGTTGAAGAGGACTTTATTGAACACAATTGGTAGTCTTTCCTCTGGGTAGCTCGTGGTGATGCCGACAGAAAAGGCAGATTTCAGTACGATCTTTCCACACTTGCAGACCCCTGGTGCTCCTGGCTCTCCTCGGTCTCCTTTATCTCCCTTAGGTCCAGGTGGTCCAGCTGGACCTACGTCACCTTTGGCACCAGTCAATCCTCCAGGTCCTTTCTTACCAGACTCACCTTGGTCTCCCTTCTCTCCAGCTGGTCCTAATGGCCCAGTCTTTCCTCTTAAACCTTCAAAAACATTTTAAGTTTGTTAATCGTTGCACATATCACCTCAGTAAATGATTGTGTGGGCTACTGTGTGTGCCTGAACAAACAAGAAAAACATGGTCAAAATTTCAAAATACTCTAGAAATACTTGCAAAATTTTCTAGTAAGTTTGCAAAAGAAATGCCACTAAGTGATAATATCTTCATGTGGCTTGATTACATATTAAAGAATGTTATATGTAATCAATCTATTGCTGCCTGAACTACTAGGCACTACTGATGGCAGGGACAGCAGCATGACTACCTATGTAGTGATACTCGTGCACTACATATTTCCTAAAAATAGAGCCTTTTTAGTGCATTCCTAAGCACCTGCTAATCTTTTAAGCCTGGTCAATGGCACAGGTGGGACTATTTATTTGAGACCACGCGTACTTTATTCTTTCCAATCTTTTTCTTAGCATCTGTGTTAAGAAAGGTTGTGTATTTACATTTCTTTACACTGATATATGTGCATACTCTCACTGTATTTATATATGGACACACTTAAACCCACACAGGCACATACACACACTCATCATATATAAATATATATATACACACCTATAGATATAGATATGGATATATAAATATGTGTATAACAGTGATGATGACAGATCTTGCTTTCTTGTTACTACTGTGTTAATTTACATAAATATTCAATACCTGCACTCCCTTTTTCACCTTTTTCTCCCTTCCTGCCATCTCTACCATCTCTTCCTGGAAGACCAATGCGTCCATGTGGCCCTGGGGTTCCACTGGCTCCAGGGGGGCCAGCAGGGCCTGGCAAACCTGGGATGCTGCAGATATATCTGGTGTAGTAATTTTCTCCTTTGCTCTGGCTTTGAAGAGGTTGTTCACTTGTGTAGATGGCAAAACTTGTAATGTACAGCAGCACAAACATCCTCAGATCTGGGAAAAAAAAAAATTAGTCAGACACTTTAGTCACATGGAAATGGCTCTGAGTATGCAAATAAGTGTGACACTGTGATGCATTATGCACAAGTAGGGGTGCAGACCTCAACCTGGAATTTCTGCATTACCAAAATCCATGTAGGACGCAAGGAGGAAAGTCTGTCAGGTTGGAGATTTTTCTGGGCACTGTACAAGTTGCTGTGTGACTTTCAAGTAAGTAGCTGTAGACTGACATAGTGTAACTGGTGAATCTCAGCTTTCTGAGGCCAAATGTTGACACATGAAAAAATAATCTGGATTTTTTCAATGCAAAGACCTTTGCATAGTTTATTTTGTCTTTGGTCCCTATACAAGCTTTACAGCTAAAAGCCCTCTTGCTGGAGGGAGTTAGTCTATGCTAGAGGCATGTGCCTGTAGTCAGGATAAAGCTTACACCTTCATTTCATTTTGAAATTTGCCCTTATGGTGGCAAATGAATCTCCAGCTTAAACAACTGCAGCAGAAACTTGCTGAAGCTGCAGAAAGGATGGAAGGCAGTTAGAGATCTCCAGCTTCAGTGCCCCTTAGAAACAGCACAAATAAACACTTCACCCCAATCCTCAGGTGGAACCAGGCACTGCCCTGCCCTGCCCTGCAGGGGATGGTGGGGTGTGAATGGGCTGCTAACAGGTTGAGTTTTTTAAGCCTGGCTTAGGCTGTCATATACAATGAACTGTGTCACAATATCTTGCAAGAAAAATGATTAAATCTTTATATATGGTATTTGGGCGCTTTCATAAACGATTGGGTAGAAATTTCTCTGTCCCACTGTATACTGGGATACTAGAGAAAAGTAACTGTAGAAACAATGACATGCTGAGTAATTGCAGTACCTGATATACAAAGGTGTCTTAAATTTAGTGTTGCATTAGCAGAGAGTCAGTCATGGGTCAGGTGAGAACCTACAAGTCAAGCTGTTTTTTCTAGTTCCTTTGCTGTCTTCTCAGAAAATTTGTGTGCGTTTTTTGTTGGAGCTGTCCATTCTGTCAGAGTAATTTACAGCATTCAAGGAAATTGGAATCCACAGGTTTCTGTAGGGGGAAAAAATGGAATGGGAGATTGAGAAAAAATATCTGTAAAATGCAGTCTTTTTTTTACAGTGAGTCATAGACTCACAGAGCCATTAAGGTTGGAAAAGACCTTTAAGATAAGATTATCAAGTCCAGCCATCCACCGAACATCATCACCATATTCATCACTAAACAATGTAAAATCCACACGTTTCTTGAACACTTCCAGAGATGGTGACTCTGCTGCTTTCCTGGGCAGCCTGTTCCAATGCTACTCAGCCCTTTCTGTGAAGACAGATTTCCTGCTACCCAGTCTAACCCTCCAGTGCCCCAGTTTAACATTATTTCCTTTCATCCTGTCTTGTTCCCTGGGAGAAGACACTGACCCCCACCTGGCTGCCACCTCCTTTCAGGGAGCTGTGGAACAGGATGAGGTCTCCCCAAACCTCCAGGCTAAACACTCCCAGCTGCCTCAGCTGCTCCTCACAGGACCTTTGCTCCAGGCCCTTCATCAGCTCTGCTGCCCTTCCCTGGGCATGGTCCAGCACCTCAGTGTCTTTCTTGAAGTGAGATTCCAAAGCTGAGCACAGGATTTGAGGTGTGTCCTCACCAGTGCCCAGGATGGGGGGACAATCCCTGCCCTGGTCCCACTGGTCACACTATTGCTGGTACAGGCCAGGTGCCTTGGGCCTCCTTGGCCTCCTGGGCACAGCTGGCTCACATTCAGCCACTGTCACCAGCACCCCAGGTCCTTTTCCCCTGGGCAGCTTTCCAGCCACTCTGCCCCAGCCTGTGGCACTGCCTGAGGCTGCAGGACCCTGCACTGGACCTTGTCGAACCTCACACAACCAGCCTCAGCCCCCTGATCCAGCCTCTCCAGATCCCTCTGCAGAACCTTTTAATCTAGAAATTGTTGTTCTCATTCTCCCCTCTGTGATACTGGTTGGCATTAACTGATTTAAAACCCCAAGCCATTACATTTATTTGCAGTTCATGATATTTCAACTGGTATATGGATGGCATGGTCAGATCTATTCAGCAAAGATCAGCATATATGTATATACATGCATGCACAATCATACACAGTCTTTATGAAGAATCTTTTATTTTACAGAGTGGAAAATTAGAAAATGTTATGGTTAACAGTGATAATGCAGAAAAAATATAAAAATAGTATATTTGTAGAGAAATAAACAATGCTCCAAAATTCTCTTCAGTGATAAACATTTTGCTTTTCATTTTAGACATCTTGCATCAAATTGGCAGAAACCAAACTAATAATTTTGCTGTTATTTGATGAAGCCTTACCATACAGTCAGGCATAACAGTCTCCACAAATGGATTAGCATATGAATGCTGAACATTACAGCACACCAGTGAATGATAACTCCAAGGCAGTTGTTAGCTACAAGACAAACTTCACAGTGACGTTTGCTCTGATGTACTACTGAGCAAACTCAAATAAAGCTCATGGATTTTCATGGGACTTAAATCAGGGACAAAAAAGCTCTCTGCAGAGAAGAAAAACTTTAAACACTTAGCCAGGAGGGAACAGCTTGGAGGGACTTCATGCTTCAAGCTGCATACGCATTTTACGCAAAGCTGGTGGATAAGAAGCAGACATGACCTAAGGATCAAGGACTGGAAAAAAATCCTGCCCTTTGCCAGATGAAAGTCTGAATCAGTAGGCTGGATATTCCCACACCGTGTTGCATGTAAGCCAGGCAAAAACTATCTCAACAATTTCTAGTTTTGCCTGTGTCAAGGGTATCTTACAAATCAGAGTAAAAACCTTCACACAGCTGCTCCTGTCACTGGCTGGCCAGTACCTTATTGATGTGTGAAGCTGTCTCCAGCTCCCAGACCTCCCCTGCTGTTCTTCTCATGTCCCTGCAGGAAATTAATTGGTCTGGGACATGTATTTCTAAATAGACCATGGGAAAAAATGTCATTTGAGGAAGGTGAGGGGAATGGGGTTGTTGAGATAGGGATGTGACTTAGATGGCTGGGGCTTTGTGTTTGGAGAACCAGTTCAGGATGGAGAAGGCATAGAGGACAATATACAGAGATTTCATCTACGTGTTGGGGGTCTTAAGGAGTGACAGGGCTGTGCGACTGAATGGTGGGAATGCAGTTAGGTAAATAGGGCTGGACTTGGGAGAAAATTATTATAATGGTTCAGGTGATGATGTTTACAGACCTGAATTCATTCTTGGGGGAACACAGAAAGCTGCTTCCAACAGTGGTGGCCAAAAAATGACATTTGGGAAACCATGCATTAACCCAGAGAATCAGGAATTCTCTTGCCCTTTGAATTCAGACTCTTGCATTTCTTTGTACATAACAGTAGTTATTTTATAAGAAGGAGGGATGCCTGTCTGTTAGTGCAGTCTCTTGGAAAGAGACTCAAAAGGGAATCTCCTCAGACCAAGGAAAGAAGGACAGTGCTGAACCCATGCCCCCTATTTCCCAGTGAGTGCCCTTAAAAGCACTACAGAAAAGTTAAAGGTGAAAAAGAACATATGACCATGGCTTTTGAAATTTCACGTTGACTTAGGAGGCCAAAATCAGAGATTTCAGTTCACAGGGTTTTAAGAAGTTAGAGGGTATAACAGACTTCCCAGATCACTTCCTCAGGAGTCACCTATTGTTGCAGTTTTATTGTTGTAGTTAAATATTTGTCCACAGAGAGTTAACTGGGAGGCAGAACGTGAATCATAAATAACACTTTGTTCTTGGCTTCTGGTTGTCCTTTTCAAAGATAAAAAACTTTTGTCCATAAACTGGGGCAGGAAACAAAGTCCTTGATATATGCCAAGTGATTTGTCTCCAGAGAAAAACAACATTTGAGGAGTTCAATGTATTTTTCCAAAAACTGAAAGCCAGAATAAGCACATGGTATTCTTCTTCAGAACAATAACAGACATCTTCATTATAGCCGTCATCAAAAATAATAATGAAAATTATATAAACTCAGAGTTAAAATGATGTTATTCCACGTTTAGGAAATGGCATTTCAATAAGTTCCAAATCCACTAGGTAGAGGAAGAATGCACATCAGGGCATTCACTGGAAGATGATGGACATGCTGATCAGTTCTAGTCATAGAATTACAGGATAGTTTGTGTTGGAAGGGACCTTTCAGATCACCTAGTTCCAGCCTCCCTGCTGTGCGCAGGGACACTTTTCACTATACAAGTTTTCTCCGAATGGTTTCTAAAACAGATTTTCCAAGTGAGTTCTTAAAGTTATCTCATTCATTTAATACTGGAAAAACATTCAAAAAACTTTTCTGGACCTTGTTGCAGTCTGTTAAGGTGGCAGATCCAAAGAATCAAAAGCAGGTGGCCAGCAGGTCAAGGGAGGTGCTTATGCCTCTCTACTCCACTCTCGTGAGATCCCACCTGGAATGCTGTGCCCAAATCTGGGATCTTCAGCGAGGAAGGATATGGACATGCTGGAGCAGGTTCAGAGGGGACCACAAAGACAATCAAGGGTCTGGAGCACCTCTCCTATGAACACTCACTGAGGAAGTCAGTACTTAAAAGTGGTACTTGTGAGAAAGATGGAGACAGACTGTTTAGTAGGGCCTGTTGCAATAGGTCAAGGGGATATGGCTTTAAACTAACATAGGGTAGATTTAAAATAGACAGAAGGGAGACATTTTTTATCCTGATGATGGCAAAACACTGAAACAGGTTGTCCAGAGAGGTGGTCAATGCCCCATCCTTGGAAACATTCAAGGCCATGTTGAACAGGGCTCTAAGCAAAGTTATCTAGTTGGAGATGTGCCTGATGATTGCAGGGGGGTTGGACTAAATGATTTTTAAAGGTCTCTTCCAACACAAACTGTTCTGTAATTCTATGATCTCTCTTGAGAACATACCCTGTAAGTTAGATCCCCACTGAAGCCAGGGCTCAGCACAGGCCTTTCATCAAGACATTAGGAAATCTCATTTCATTACTGCTATACTCAGACTATGTCACTAACATTTTTTTAAACTTAGAAATTCAGGGATTGTAAGAAATTGCCAGTTTTGAGACTTTCTGGTATATGATCTAATATTTCTCACTTGTTCAACTATGTAGTGCTAATTCTAAAATTTATTAATTGGCATTGTTTTGAAACAAGCCTAGAAGATTTCCCATGAATCTGTTGTAAATAAAAACTGGGTCAAGTGCCAGTAGCTATTAGTCACAAGCTACCCTGACTATGTTCTTACTTTTGTTTGCCCTGCTAGCTTTGAATTCACTTCCAATACATACACACAGCTGTTTAGGCAGTAGAAGATATGTTTTAACTTCCTTGTGCACAAAGGCATAGATGAGAAATTGTGATACCTGTGGGCCCTTTCTGTCTGCAGCCCTGGCAATGGATTAGTGGTAAAGAGCAAGATACTCTGTATGTCCTTTGGCTTTCCAAATGCAAAGGCCCCAAATGCCCCACAGAGCTACCAGGAATCCTCCTTGTGAGAGGAACAGATCTTCCCCAACTCTCCCATCTAGGAACTGTAGGGTAGGAGAAACAAAGTGAATAAGGAGATAATAAGTCTGGATGAGAAGTAGAGAGAGAGAGACATCTTCAGCAATTAATGTGAAATCTCACTGGCTATGCCAGTCTTTTCCCTCTCAAAACATGATCCACAAAAATCAGCTGTGTCCCCATGCCTGAAGGGTTCAAACCTGCCATTCAATCTGCCACCACCACTTACCTTTCTACACGGCCTAAGAAACAGGTGTTTATGGCTTCACATGCCACATTCAGTAGTTTCTTTGCTCTGTAAGATTTTTATGTCATCAAAATATGTGAATCTTAATGATGTTTTTTTTTTTTCCCCATGGATTTTACAGTGATCACCCACCTTCAGTTGGCCAAAGCTTTATACATCTCCCAGCTTGTTTTGTGTTATTGGGGGCTATGCTGGACTTCCAGAGCTTCACCTGTAACACCACACCTTACTCTAATGAATCAAGACCACAGCTGGCCATTACCACAGTGCTTGGGTTACCTACATAACCCA